TAAATAAACAAACAAACAAACAAACAAACAAACAAACAAACAAACAAACAAACAAATAAATAAATAAATAGTCAGCATAGCCAACTGATAAGGGTGATGAGCAAAAATTACACCCAGTTACCTCAGATATACTTTCACTTTCTTGATTAATGTTTTCTTTTTTCTTCCACATTTACTTATTTACATCTTTATCCTGCCCAACTAGTGGCAACTAGTGAGAAAATATTTCTTTTCTGGCCATCCTGCTACTTATTTGTAATTTCTTTCTCAGTTATGATGTGTGTAGGACAGGGAAGCCATGGAAATTCTGGCTTTTTAGAGAGAATCTGGGTGAGTTGTGGAGGATAATGGTGTAGGAGTTGTGTAAAAACAGCCCAAGACAGCTTACATAATTGAAAACACAATTTTAAAAGCTAAAAACTGTAAATGATTCAAATATTCAAAAATAATTAAGAACATATTAATTCTGTATTTAAAATGTTAGGTAAAAGTATTATTAAAAACAGATTGAGAAGCAATAAAATATAAATATAAAGCTAAAACAAGCATCAACACAGAGTGAGACAAAAGACCTGTTTTCCAGTTTTGTTTTTCACACTGCTAGGCGGTGGTGCAATTTTGTTTTACTTTACTCCAGTTTGTTCCACTGCAGAACTTGGAATCCAGTGCAGCACTGAAGTGTTCTGATCCATGCACTCTATTCGTTTATTTAAAATATTTTTACCTGCCTTCTTTAAATAGATCCAGGATACTGTACTGTAGTTTACATCATTAAAAGATAATACTTACAGCTAAAAACATTAAGTATACAAATACTAAAAAAAGATCAAGCAAATACCCCATTTAAAAAACAGTAAACAAAAGCAACACCAAAAACACATGCAAAGCAGTAAGGTGCAACTATTCATTTAAAAACACCACTCACCACAGCCAGTAACTGTGGGAAAGCTTGCCTGAAGATAAAGGTCTTTGCTTGTGGAAGGGCAGCAACGATGGGGCCAGCCTGGCCTCCTGTGGCAGGGAGTTCCAAAGTCTGCGAGCAGCAACAGTACTCCTAGAATTGAGAGGCTGTCATTCTGTTTTTGCTGGTCATTCTCCACCCACCCGGATAAAAAGGGAGGGAAGGGGAAAAGTAGTAAAGTATGCAGGAAGAGGGCATCAGCTGTTCTCATTTTCTTCTTTTTTGTTACATATCATGCTGTGTGCTAAGTCTCTTCCTCTATTCCCTGTACACACATGATTGCACCCCATTGTATAACACCAACACAATTATTAAATTTGCAGACGATATGACAGTGGTGGGGTTCATAAATAAGAACAATGAGTCTTCTTACAGAAAGGTAGTACAAGGGTTGATACTCTGTTGTAAAGAAAATAATGTTACACTTAACATAAAAACACCTAAAGAACTCATAATTGATTTTAGGAGGAAGAGAAATGTACGTTTTCTACTGTATATAAATGGCGAGGAAGTGGAGAGGGTTGGTAGTTTTAAATTTCTGGCCACTTACATCTCAGAGAACCTCTCATGGACTATAAACACCAAAATGCTAGTGAAGAAGGCACAGAAGAAGCTGTATTTCCTGAGAATGCTCGGGAAGTTAAATCTATCTCAGCATTTACTCCTGTCCTACTATCGTAGCACCATTGAGAGTGTCCTAACCTATGGCATTCTTGTATGGTTTGGGAGTAGCTCTGTAGTGGACAAAAAAAGCTCTACAGAGCACCATTAAAATTGCCCAGAATATCATGGGGTTCCAGCTATCAACCCTGGACCCAGCTATCAACATCTCCACATCCCGCTGTCTGAGGAAGTCACACAACATTCTTAGAGACTTTTCCCATCTACCTTACAACTTCTTTGAACTGTTGCCATCTGGCAGAAGATACAGAACAATTAAGACTCGGACCACACGTTTTCTGAGTAGTTTTTATCCCAGAGCTATAATTGCACTTAATATGAATTTAAAGACCACC